CTGGCCCTGCCTGCTGGAAGCCAAAAATTCTTCCCTTTCGTGTGATAACCCACACTTCCCTCCCATCTCCACACTCACTCTCCCCCACTTAGCACCTGAGAGCTAGGGAAGGTGGGGGAAAGCGAGGGCCGGCTGTCTCTCGCCTGAATCTAATCTGCCCTGCCCCACTCACCTCTTCACCCAGGGGCCCCGCGGACGAACGGCATCGCCACCCCTGCGGTGCACTGAGCCCCGAAATCTCGCCAGGGGGCTTGTCCCCCAGCGCCTGCACTCACTGGGACGCAGGGCTGGGTCCCGCCCCAGTGTGGTGGGGGCGCACGCGCAGTTCGTGAGCCCGCGAGGCTTGGCCGCTCCGGAGCTGCCGGCCTGTGAATTTCAGTTGAGCCTGGCAGCCCCGCTAACTTTTCAGGTGAGGGTCCTCTGCCCTGGGTTTTACTGCAGGAGAAGCAGTTCTCGCACAAAGGCAAACCGGCCAGGTAATTGTCAAGACTTTGGCCCAGACTCCAGCAACTGGCTGTCCACTGAGGTCCAGGTCACCCACCACTGTCATATCTTTGCCATATCTCTGTATTACATGTATTGTTACTGAATTATGGTAAAATCAGGGATTGGGTAAGCTAGTTGTATTTTCTAGCTCATCACACAACGCATCTAACAATTATTAATCAGTTTGCCCCTGTACCAGGACAGGTTCCCCATTCTTGTGTGGTCTCAGCGGCACGTGTGGCCACTGGTGGGGAGGCCCATCTGCTGGACATGTACACGGGAGCAGGCTCTGTGCTGACTGCTTCCATGTATCTCCCACCATCACGATAATCCTGGAAGGTAGGCTTTTCAGATACCCATTTAACTCATGAGAAAACTGAGATTCAGAGAGATGCAGTGACTTGCTCAGCTCACACAGCCCAGGAGATGGTGGGGCCAGGAGCCAAAGGCAGACTGAGCTGATGAGCAGGTGCTTGTCCTGAACTCAGGACGCACATCCCAAATGTCCAGAGGGAAAGCTGAACTTGGCACCTACTTCGTCTCTTATCAGTTCTCCCTGGGTGGATTCTCCCCAGTGAGCCCTGAGGCCCGGAATCACGATTTAATGCAAAAACACTTGCTTCCACCATGGCCCTCTTTGGTCTTCTCCACCCGGCAGCCAGAGGGCGCCTCTGAACCACGAGTCAGGGCATGTTGCTCCCCTGCTCAAAATCCTCCAATGGCTTCTGGTTACTCTCAGAATGTTATCTGGAGACTTACCATGGGCCATATGATCTGTCTTCCCCTCTCCCAAGTGGCCCTCCACAGTCTTTCCTGCTTGGGCTCTGGCAGCACTGATCTCTCCTCCCTATTCCTGGAACTTGCCAACGTTGCCCATGCCCCAGGGCCTTTGCACTGCTGTTTTCTCTGTCTGGCACACTCTTTGCTTAGATACCCACATGATCCTCTTTTTCACCTCCTTCAGGTCTCTGCTCCAATGTCAGAGACGTCTTATCTTGCTATACCAAGTAAAATACCCCCTGGGTCCATCTCCTCCGACTCTGCTAGGCTCTCTTTGGAGCATTTGATCTGACATTTTATATTCAGTTATTTATGGTCTGTTTCCCCAACCGGAAGGTCAGTGCCTCCAGGGTGGGGGATCTTGCTGTGCATTTTTTTTTTTTTTTTGGCCACTGAATTCACAGCACTTAGGAGTAGGGCCTGGCAAATGCTAAATTCTCCATAAATCACTGCTGCTTGTGGAAGCCGACCTCCTAATTCACAGATAGCACTGCAGGCTCAGAGAAAGGGATCAGACTTTGCTCCCTAAACGCCATCATCTAAGCATCGGCCTAGGAGCCAGGCCTCGCACTGGACTCCTGCAGACAGCGCGCCTCTGCCCAGCCCGGAACAGCCTCCCTGCGGAGCTCCACGAGGCTGCTCTTCAGATTTTGACAGGGGCTCCCCAGCACCAGCAAGCAGTATGTTTTCACTTGTGTGAGTCTTAACTACTCCATTGAGGAACGTGGTTTCAATTATGCCAAGGTGCCCTCGGGGCTTCTGGCACTGGGGACATTTTGAAAAAAAAAAAAAAGTATAGAGAATAAAAACAAACTGTCTTCCCTGAGTAGCTCCAGCTGGTGATTAAGATGGTTTTCTAAGAGGTGCGACTTTGACTTTGGGGCCAGTGGGGAATAGCAGAGGTGGCAAGGTTCTGAAGATATGGGCTTGAACTCTAACACAATGGTCCCCTCAAAATACCTGGCTCTGAGTCTCAATTTCACCCAAGGTGGACAAAGCCCCTACTATGCATCTGCCCTTCTATTGCATGAGAGCTTCAAACGCTTATGTATTTGCCTGACAGTTTGGTATCATCGGGCTTCCGTGGTGGTTCATATGGTAAAGAAGCTGCCTGCAGTGCGGGAGACTGAGTTTGATCCCTGGATTGGGAAGATCCCCTGGAGGAGGGCATGGCAACCCACTCCAGTCTTCTTGTCTGGAGAATCCCATGGACAGAGGAGCCTGGCGGGCTACAGTCCACGGGGGTCGCAAAGAGTCAGACACGACTGAGCGACTACCACACACTTGGTGTCATTGCTGGAGTGTCCCCGACATCTCAGACCCCAGGTGCCCTCAACAGGGGGATGGATTCTTCATCTCCCCTGTGTCGCCCATCACAGAGAGCAGCACCATCACCCAGGTCAGGCTGAGCCCAGGAGTCTCTCTTGACTCCTCCCTCTCCCTCATCCCCCTTGTCCAACCTGTGAGCAAGGCCTCTCCGCTTTACTGCCATCCCTAAGTGCACGTCTTCTCCCATCTCAATCCAACCCGATTTTCTTCTTCTGCTTGGAGGTGCCTCTATGTTAGTCCCCCAGTCTCTCCCTTGCCCCTCCTACTGCCTGTTCTCCATGCAGCGGCCAGACTGGTCACTGTGGCGCACAGACCAGGTCACGTGGCTCTTCCTGTTTCATGCTCCCCTGCCCCATGGCTGTCCACAGCACTCACAATAAACCCGGACGTTTCTGGCCTGTGTCTGGCTCACGCCTGCCTCTCTAGACTCGTCTCTCTCAGCTTTCACTCACCCAGTCACTCACATGCAGTCTCGTGGCCTTCCTGCCAAACCTTGGAGACATCACACTAGTCCTCGCCTCAGGGCCTTTGCACCTGCTGACCCATCTCCTTTAACCTCCACCTGGCTGACCCCTGCCAGCACTCAGGCCTTGGCTCACGTGCCGTGTCCTTGAGACACCTTCCCCGACTCCCTCGAGAATGAGAATGCAGTTCCCCCACCCTGCTCCCTCACTGTCACACCTGATTGTTTTATTTTCTTCACATCCTTTTCACTCTTACAAGCATTCTTGTTTATGGATTTGTTTGGCTGTTTATTGCCTGGTCTCCAGGGATTTAAGGTGAATCAGACAGACATGGTCTCTGCTCTCATATAGGCAACATTCTCAGCAGGAGACAGGGAAAAACTAAATCTACCTTGGACTTTTCAACTACAAGGGCCAATAGTTTTCATTTTCTGCTAAAGCGACTTGGGTTTTGCTATGTGTGATCAGCAGAGTCTTTACTATATTAGGCTCCATAATACTTACTGAGTTGAACTACCATGTGGTTTTTTTTTCAATTTAAAAATTTAAGCTCTTTCTCTCTCTTTTTTTCCCTCCAAGACATGAGAGGCCTTGGTAAAGAGAGCTTGCATGTTGCTTTTGGTGAAAGAGATAGTTTTGGGCTTTGATGTTACTGGCATTTCCCACTAGTCCAAAGCTCTCTTTCTTCCTCAGCAAGTTTCTATCTCAATCCTCTCTTGAAAAAGAGGCTGGGCAGAGAGCATCAATCCCATTTCACAGACATGAGGACTGAGGCCCAAACGGCTTGTCGAGACTGGATAGACAAACACCAGATGGATCATTTCAGCAAGCATTTCCCCTCTGGAACTCTAGGACAGCAGAACAGAAAGGAAACCCTGCATCCTTTCCTGATGATAAATATTAGCAATGCTCCAGGCTGGCCAGTACAGATTTGAAGTTTATAGCCTCGATGTTTCTACTTCGCAGTGGAGTCCCCAGGGATTTTTCAGATTCTAGGAAAAAATATTCCTACCAGGATAAATAGAATTGTTCTTTCATAAGCAGTTATATTTTAGGTTGCCTTTATTTTTCTGTTAAGCCAATAACGAGAATGTAATTTACAAATCTAGAAGATTCCCATGTTAATTTTCTTATCAGTCAAACTTTCCTTACCTTGGAGAAAGCTGTTTGCTCTTTCACTGGGGGAAGATGGTGCATTTTATTTCCTTCCTTGCTTTCGCTACCAGGAAGCTCAGAGACAGACTCTGAATTGCTGTAGTTAACCCAAGCCAGATTTTTATTTCTGTACAATGCCTCAGCCTTATTCATTATGTGGCTTTCTATTCCTTTGTGTTTGCTTTAGTAGCTCTATTTTAAATATGTTTTCTATTTGAGATTCTTCCCCAATCTTTCGGACACAGGCAGTATATAAACAAATGAATTAAATTTATTTCTGAAGCTGCTCTCCCCCTTCTCCCATCTCCCTTGCTCCTTGCTTAAGGGCACAGGAGCTGATACTTTAAATCAGCATGCTCCCCCTCCTCTTTCTCTTTGTAAAACATGTTTTCAGGGGAATGTAAATTGTTTTTAAAAGCTTCCATCCTGGCCCACTGCTAATTATTCCTGACCCAGGAGGATCCATACTAATTTGCCTTAATAAACTTTATTAAATAGTAAATTTCAGGAGGAAGAAACTACACAGCTTTGATTGGATTAGTAAAACTGCCAGTGGACATCACCGCCAGAGCAGAGAGAAAAGCCCATTAACCGTAGAGGGAATCTGGTAAAGTGTGTTTCCAATAAGCTATGGCTGGCCACAGTCCTATGCCTTCTTAGGGGTTGCAAGCAAAAGTTTCTAGCTTCCAAACGAAAAAGAAAAAGGCAATGTCTCTGCCCCCGAACCAGATGCAGGTGATTAAATAAAGCAACTATGGAATGAAACAAGTAATCACAATTCCAAACCTCCAGATCATTGAAGAACAGATGGGTATCTGCGAGGTTGAAGATCATTTCTTCCATCATGAGGCCGATGCGCACGGACGTCGTGGTGTCCTGTTAGGAGGAAGAGGAGAAACGTGTGTAAGTGGAGTCTTGTGTCATCGCAGCCTCCCCTCCTCTGGTCCCACCTGCGAACGGCGGTTGTGGTCTGTCTTCATCTCTGTGGCTCCCACACAGCCTAAAGTGTGTGTCCAGGTGGGCTCAGGGTGATAATGTTGCACAGCTTCTGGGATTTCACTTCTACCTTTTCATCATTTCTATTTATCCTCATCAGCGTTTAAATCCCCACCCCCCACCCCAAATATGCCTCTGGAACGGCACCTGTGTTCATTGCTGCAAGAACCACAAATGGCTGGAGGAAAAGAGAACCTCTTGGGAAACAAGACATTTCAGGGAAAGCAGTATAAACCATGTATAAACTACTGGTAGAGTTGGGATCTTGGTTCTCTCTTTATACTGATCAGTCTATGACATTGCCTTCCTGCTCCAGATGTTTAAAAAAACCACTGTTATCTAACAAGAGAGGACTAACTATAAAAACACAAACAAAACCCACTGTAGTACATCCATACCAGAGAAACTAGGCAGCCATTAAAAAAATGGAGTCATGCTAGAACTCCTGACATGAAAGAATCATCCAGAAACACAGTATTAAGGAACAAGAGCAAACTGCATCACAGTATACTGTGTAAAGGGCATCCCAGGTGGCGCTAGTGGTAAAGAAACTGCCTGCCAATGCAGGAGACATAAGAGACGCCGGTTTGATCCCTGGGTTGGGAAGATTCCCTGGAGGCAGGCATAGCAAACCACTGCAGTAATCTTACCTGGAGAATCTCATGGACAGAGGAACCTGGCGGGCTACGGTCCTTAGGGTCACAAAGAGTCAGACATGACTGAAGCAACTTAGCATGCACGCAATTACTGTGTAAAACACAATGTACAATAAAAGGGTCCATTCTCTCTCCCTCTCTTCCCTACACATGTAGTGTGTAGACTGCATTACTCTTCACCCATATTTGGGGTCCCTTCCTGAAAAGCTTCTCCCTGGAGGAAGATGACACATGTCAGGGGCTGGCAAACTACAGCCCGCAGGTCAGATCTGGCCTGCTGTCTGTTCTGAACGGCTCACAAGTTGAGTGATTTTTACATTTTTGGACAGTGTGTTGTATATGGCTGCTTTTGGGCTTTGAGGCTGAGGTGTGTAGTTGTGACAGATCCTTACTGATCCTAAAATGCTGACTATCTGGCCCCCAGAAGAGAAAGGCTGCTGACCCCTGATATAGAAGTTCCCTGTGGAATTCAATGGTGACCATGTGACTTGCTTTGGCCAATGAAATATGAGCAGAAGATATGTTTCATTTCTGGTTGGAAGGGGCTTCTCTGGTGACTGGGACGGTAAAGAATCTGCCCGCAATGCAGGAGACTCAAGTTTGATCCCTGGGTCAGAAAGGTCCCCTAGAGAAGGGAATGGATAACCACTCCAGTATTCTTGCCTGGAGAATTCCATGGACAGAGGAGCCTTGTGGGATCCCAGTCCATGGGATTTCAAAGAGTCAGACACAACTGAGCGACTAACACTTCCCCCCGCTTTTTTCCCCCACTTCTGGTTGGAAGCTTTAAGAGCTAGTGTATGGTTTGCCAAGCTCTCGTCCCACTTCACAAGGCTAAATGTTCCAGCTACAAGAGACTTGGTCAGCTTGGGTTACAGAATAAAGATGACGAGTGTCAGAAATACAACAGAGCACAACGGACATGTACCATAAATAAGCAGGTGAGATTTGAGGCATGCTTGTTACTGCAGCATAACCTCACTGATTCCAACTGATGCACGTGGAAAACACAGAGCATACACATGGGAAATATAGTGCATACTGGTTTTCAACCCTGGCTGCACGCTTTGTTGATGTGAGGAGCATTTAAAAATCTAAAATCAGAATGGCTGCAGGTGGGATCCAGGCACAAGAAAAGTTTAAACTCCCCACCTGATTTCAATGTGCAGTCAAGGTTAAGAACCACTGGTCTACAAGGAGAGACAACACTTAGTAATAGTCCTCATTAATATCTGTTAGGTGCTTTCTCTGTGCCACTCTCTAAGTATTTCTTAACTCATTTAATCCCCACAATGCTCTCTGAGGTGAGCACTTATTATCTTCCCATTGAACACTGAGGCTCACAAAGCAACCTGCTCAAGGTGCCACAGCTAGTGAGTGCTGGGATCTGACGCCAGTAATCTGGTTCAGGGCAGCTCGGCTTCAGAGGAGGCCTTGGAGGGGCCAGGATTGGGAGAGGAGTAAAGGTGGCCTTGACCTCCACACACCTCTTTTCCCAGTTGAATTTTTCACCAGAAGGCTGTATTACCTCTGTTATAAAAACAAATAATGAATGACATAAACCCGTCTTGACCCTTAGAAAAATAAAAAATCGCAGCTGGTGATCTCAGCTTCACACACACACAACTGTGAAGAATCAAGCCCAGGAACACAGCCATTAGGTGAAACACCTCATCAGGTCTTTCATAGCCAAAGCTTAGCACGCTGGGCCCTGGCTGGAAGTCGCAGGGTAGAGTGGTCCATGAAAAATGAAGAGGAAACGGGGGAAACAAACTCCTTGGAGCCACGTAAGGAATCACTGTGTGACCTGGAAAAAGGTTTGGGGGTGTTCCCACATACTTCTTGAACCCAAGCCGTTTCACCTCTGCAGGACTGCACACATTCTTTCTTGGTGAGGCTGTTTGTACCCCTAACCCCTATGCCCAGCCCTCCATGTACTAAGTGGGAAGAAGAAGCCATCTAGATTCATCCACTGAAAGGATTTGTTCAGAAAAACGTCAACTCTCAGGCCAGCATACAAAACAGGAAAAGCACTTACTGTAGACAAAAATGGCTTACCTGTGACAAGTGTTTACATAATCCTCTACATCAATGAAGCTGAAATGATGACTTACTGATCTTGGGAGGATGTGGAGAGGAAGTCTACATGTGTGAGAGAGGCAAGGGTGGGTGAGAAGAGAGCTAAAGTCTCATGTAGTTTGGGAAGCCAGAGATCCTGCCTAAAGCAGAGAAAAATCATGGAGCGGGTAAAGAAGCAGGTTACTTAGAAATTTGAAGGTAAATATCCAAAGAATCAAAAAAAGTTGAAAGTTGTTGCCTCTGGGCAAAAAAACAGGGTGGGGTTGGGGGGAAATCACTGGGGACTGCTTGCTGTGTTTCATAATCCTCTCCTTTGGAGAAGACATGAGTTTTAAACTCTATGCATATATTTCTTGGATTAAAAGGAAACTAAATTAAAAACAAAAGGAGGGGCTTTCCTGGTAGTCCAGTGGTTAAGAATCCATCTGGCAAAGCAGGGGACACGGGTCTGATTCCTGCCCCAGGAAAATTCCATATGCTATGGGGCGACTGAGCCTGTGCGTGACAGCCACCGAGCCCGCGTGCCCGAGAGCCCGAGCTTGACAAGAGCCGCCACCGCCGTGAGGAGCCCGAGCACCGAGACTGGAGCGCGCCTCGCAGCAGTGAAGGCCCAGTGCCGCCGAAAAAGGGAAACCTCCGCAAGCAACATCACCCTCCAGTAAATACTGTGCGCTTAGCCACTCAGTCGTGTCCGACTCTTTGTGACGCCATGGCCTGTGGCCCACCAGGTTCCTCTGTCCATGGGGATTTTCCAGGCAAGAATACGGGAATGTGGGTTGCCATTTCCTTCTCCAGGGGATCTTCCCAACCCAGGGATCGAACCCAGGTCTCCCTTATTGAAGGTGGGTTCTCGCCTGAGCCACCAGGGAAGCCCAGAGTAAATACTACATACAATAGAGAAAAATCCAGATATGTGAGCAAGGGATGTGTAGAAAGATGTTCATTACAGAGTTGTTCGTAAATTGCAAATGACAGGAAACAATTTAGCTGTCCACCAGGAGATTAGAGAAATAAAATGTAGAATATTCATGCAATGGAAAACTAAATTCAATGGAAAGAAATGAACCAGATCACCAAGTGTTAACATGGACACATCAAAAAAATATTATTGAGTGAAAGTATATATCTGAGAGTTACATACTGCATGTTATTACCATTTATTGGAAACATAAAATGTTACTACATATTTTCTACGGGCCCTTATATATCTGTAAGTATCTGCAAAGATATATCGATAATCAGAACAGTGATTACCTCTGGAAAACAGAGTGAAGGGGAGAGAGGAATTAGAAGTGATGATCAAAGTGAACTTTAGCATTATCTAGAATATTCTCAAAAAAAATTTTTTTTAAGAGAAGAGATTCGAACATTTCTGGGATTATTAAAAACTGAAACAAAAACTTCAAGACACCCAAACGTTTCTGAGGAGAACTTTTAGAACACCTAACTACTCCCTAAGCATTCTCTTATTTCAGTTTTTTCTAAAATCTGCTTGCATGCTGCCAATTAGATTATTTTAAACTGTGTAGTTGGGAACCTCTTTTCAAGATACTTGATAAAAACTAGTTGTGCTGAGGTGGAAAAGTCTAGAATAGCCCAAGAAAAGCACAACTGTCCCTGTAGTTAAGTAACACAGTGTTACTCTGGGCCAGACCATTGTATCCAAGTAGAAAATGTTTTTTTCAGAGTTGTAAAGACTGAGAAATGAAGAAACAAAAATTGGTGGAGGCTGAGCGTTAATTAATGTGAGAACAGGGTGACAGGCAGGGGTTTCATCTCATGCTGCCCCCTGAAAGCATCCCTGACATGCTCTATAAACACACCATCCTGGTTTGGTAGCTTAATTCACCCCGTGTAGCTTGGAGAGGGAGGGAGCCTGCCTGAACTAGCACACTTCCCAGTCAAAGAAAGCCTAAAATATGGAGTCTTTGTGCCATGTTTTCCCAACTAATAAAAGGACTAAATGAAATAGCACACGTGTAAACCCCTAGCCCAGGGTCGGGTATATCAGGCATTCTACGAGTGCTGGTTATTGTCAAAACATCCCGGTCCGCTTCCTCGTGCTTCTGTAAATCCAGCAGGAACATCCAGAATCAGATGGTACTCTGAAAGATGTGCTTTATGAAAATACCATCTCACATGAAA